AAATCCTAATGATCTGGATGATTAACCACTGGCACTTTTTAGAGCTTGTCCTCTAAGTGATCTCAGCTCACTCTGTGCTTTTATTTAATGATGAGCCTGACAACTTAGTTTATCAGCAAGGTCAAAGAATCATCCATTTGTGCCAACAAGAGGGTTTGGAAGGGGAGGAGCTGGGGGCAGTGGGCTTGTAATCTGCAAAACAGCCAGAATTCCAATTTGTGCGAAGGTGGCATTTCAAGATAAAAAGCTGATGAAAAACGGCCTATTTGAATACTAATTGTCTCCATTTAGAATGACAGGGGCTGCAGAGCCACTGATGTCATTGTCCTATTTTAAGAATCTTCACAAATGAAAGGCATGTGCCCTCCAGTGGTGAGAGCAGCTTTGAAAAAAGAGCTTTAACCCATTTAGGGACAGACATAGTGGGCTGGAAAAATATTGAGCTGCGTGCTGCACATCTGTCAACACATCCTGCTTGCCTAAGCTTGGCTTTATGATCCATCAAAAGCATTATCTTATAGGGGAATTTATAAGTGAATTTAGCAGAAGAAAAAAAAAAATTCTACTACAAAAATCTATTTTGGTTCAAATGATTCTGGACATGTTGTTGGATCCCTGGGTATTTTACAGCATTTCAGAATGTTGGGCGGCAGCTGTAGATTAAGCAGTGGACAGGTTATAACCGGCTGATATAGTGAGAAATGGGTAATACAGCTGTTCTATCTTGCGTCCCACAGGGATCAACCTTTTCGCAGGCCTTCTAAATTACAGTTTATGGGGTCTGCTTGAGTTTTTTTTCTGTCTTTTTCAAACTGGTCCACTGCCAAAATTGAGGGTGCAGCGAATTGCATTGGGCTGATTAATGACTACAGGTGAAGCGCGAGATATATAAAAATAGCGGCTCGCAAACGGGTCCGCCGCGGAGTCAGGGAGGTTTTTTTTCCGTTACGGTGCCGTTGTTTGCTGACCGTCGTTTCGTCCTGTCAAAAGCAGACACCGACCGTGGACATCCGTCCCCGCTCGGCCACCGCCATCCAGATGAACAACGCCACGCACATGCAGGAGCAGGACGAGGAGTACGGCTACGAGTGTTTAGACGGCAAGGACTGCACCAGCTTCTTCTGCTGTTTCGAGGACTGCCGCTCCGGAGCCTGGCGGCACGGCAGGTTGCACATCCGCATCGCCAAGATAGACTCGTACGCACGCATCTTCTTCCCCACTGCGTTCGGCCTCTTCAACCTGGTCTACTGGGTGTCCTATCTCTATCTCTAGGTGAAGGGGGTGCATATCCAGCCTTATCCCTAAGAATCCACCGCATTCAACACATGCTCTGCGCCAGCAAGTGACATTTTAAACGGAGGGGACCCACTGAAATACCCAAAATTTTGATTTGATTTGATTTTTTTTTTTTTCTTCGGTTGTTTGAATCCCTTTAAATTTGAGTTACTTTTTCAGCTAACTTCAATGAACATTGCAAATGTTGTAGCATTACATTTAACTGGTGTGAAGAGGTTTATAGTTGTGTTGGTCGCGTGAGAGAGTATCACATGTTTGTGTTCGAGTTTTTGCTTTACGTACGCCATTTTGGAATTTCCAGAGGAGGCTGAAGTCTTCAAAGAGAATCCAAGCTGTTGTTTCTTAATTTTTAGGTCAGTCTCAATCATTTTCCAATGAGGGATCAAAGCAAGTTGCATTTAGGTCTTATCAAAGAAAGATCACAATGACAGTGTTATACAATTAGTCTTAAAAAAGAACAAACACAAATAAATTAGCGAACAAAAAGATAAATCAAGACATCAGTGATTGATTATTGTATTTTTGTATTCTAGTTAAAGCATTGACAATTGAGTGGCTTATGGACTTAAACAACATTAACTACCGTGATAGATAAAACTAAAATGAGTTTAGACAACAGTGAAAAAGAAAAGACTTTGACCATATCTTTCAGATAACTTTCAAATCTTAATTATCCAAAATTGCATTAACCATATTTATTTATTCATTTTTCAATTTCTTCTTCACTTCCTAAAACAAAAAATCTGAAGCACTTTAAATGAGCTAGTGACACTGACATTCATTTCTGACAATGGATATTTATTTCCAGTTTCTTCAGGATGCATTAGTACAACTATGTTTTGCATTTTTCATGTGAGGTCAGAGTATGATGATGCTGTTTATGAGCAGTGCTCAACTGTACAGACACTGTATATATTTTATTACATCGTGGTTTACATTTATTGCATGCACCTTTCAGGCCAAAAAACATCCTATTTTATGGTCTTCTACTGTTGGCTCTGGAAACTAATTTAAAGAAAAGCACTCTTGATTATCATTCAGTTGTCAGTTATACTTTTTGTAGGAAAACTGGAAAATTTCTAATTAAAATGGGCCCAGTATTTCCTTTTGAGTTGAGGAATCATCTTTGCTCACAGGCGGGGAGCCCTCCCCCTTCCCAGGATTTCAGCTGGTTTAATGTTTTTCTTGCAAACATTAGTTTACAGCACTGAAGGAACTGACCCTTCATTTTCTTAAAAATAGATATCTAATGATAAATAGCTACTGGGTTATCCAAGCTGGTACATTGGAACTAGATTGAAAAAATACAGTGCTCTTATAAAAAGTAATTCACCAGACCTTTATGTAACCAAACTGTTAATTCCAGCTTCAGTTTCTAATCAAAGACGTGAAACTGCTCTACAAATCGCAGCAAACAGACCAATGAATGGTATTTAAAAGAATCTGTAGGTAAGCAGAACTAACTACATGCCTTTCTTTTAGGGGGGGTGGGGATCCTTAAAAAATATGAATCAGTCCCATCAAAAATAAAATATTATTCATCACATGCAATGGTGAGGAAACTGATTGGCAATGCACTGCAGAGGTCCATTGTTGTTTTGCTTGGCTCTACTTGTTTTAAATTTTGCTTGAATGTGTGGAGAAAGGCTAAATCACGTCAGTGTGAAGTGTTGAAAGATGGCAACGTGTAATACGCAGGAATTAGAGCTTTTAATGGATCAGTTATGATAGACACCAGTATGCTGCAGAACAATTTGTAAACTCACATGGAATGGTTGATTAAAACATTGTGTATGTACAGAAATTATGAATGAAAGAGAACAACTGTCAAGCCCTTGAAATTTTTTTTTTTTTAGAAGTGTAAAAATGTTTTTTTTAATCTTACCATTGTTATATTATGTCATCATACACTATAACATACTTATTGTATTACACTGGACTGTGCGTCCAGAATACTAAGGGGAGGTAATGGGTTATTTATTTATTTATCTGTTGATGGTATTTATTTAATTTATTAAAAGAAAATGCATTTTATGCTTATACAGCCCCTGAAAAAAAGAAAACGCAGAGAATGTTCTCATTTATATCAAAACTACATCTTAATTCAACATGTCAATGAAACTTTAGCATATTTATCTTGTGTTTTCTATGTTGTGATAAATGTACACTGCTCTCACAAAGGCCTGTCAAATTGTTCTATTTGTTCGGTGACTTGCAACATTACTAGAACTGTTGATTACTGGACTTTATTTGAATGGATTTCTTAAAAATGCACCCAAAAAAAAAAAAGGTTCCTAAGCCACCAGAAGAAGAGCAGTAACTTGTCTGAGGACTATTAATTATGTTCACTTTTCCCATGACCGCGAAGTTTTGCTTTTGGTCTTGACTTTTACCATAAATGATGCATCCGTGAAGAAACAAGCACTGACATTTTACTGGGTGATCTCCTTTTTTCCAGAGCTCTCTCCATTTTGCTTTTTGATGGTGGTTCCCGCTGTGTTCCGAAGCTGCCAGACAGTAGCCTGAACCTGTCTTCAGTGTGCACATACGCTATTTCTCACTTTTTCTTTAGGGGAGTAAGAGTGTCAGTAGCAATGTAGACTGGTCAGAATCAGTGTTAAGTAGTTGAAAAGCTGTAACAGGGTGATCACATCTCACAATGAGCCAAACTGACACACGTGCAATAGAGAATATCGAATTTATTTCGTGAACCACTCGGATGCTTTGGAGTGGACAGTGCATAATGTTTTTTCAGGCGCCCTGAAATGGTATTTCTTCAGTCATTTCATGGTTGTATATTTATCCTTTAAATATTTGCATTCAAAATTGGTACGAGACATAAGCAAAAGCATTGAGACACAAGGAAATTTACTAAACTGACTACATAGCTAATAAAATCTCTATATAAAGAGGGTAAGATGAACACTGCTGATTGTTTGCTGAAGCATGTCTTTTGTTTCCACATGGATAAAGGGAAAAAGGACAATTTTACAAATTCCACAAGAGTAGAAGTCTTCTAATTATGTTTCTTGAGTATTTGACCACTCTACTGTAAGTGCAGAGGTATGAAGCTGTGTGGGGGTAATGTAGCGTGCATGCTGAATGTCTATTCTGTGCAAAAAAAAAAGAAGCAAAGGAAATTTGTTCTGAAGAATTGGGCCTTATTCATCTGCTCTACTCTTTTTTGCCTGCGCCAACATGAACATTAGCCATATTTACTTTTCAATTTTGTTTTTGGGACCCATAAATGACATATATAAATATATATATAGTACATAAACAGCACATGTAGATATTTTCTATTGTTATGTATTTTGTCAGACTGCAGAATAAAATAATAAGTACTGGGGTGAAAAAAGTATTAAAAATGCAGGACTTGGTAAAAGGTATCTGAGAAAATTTATTTAATTTAATTCTCCACCCATACAGTATGTCAGTTGTTTTCCATCTACTGTATGTATATTTGATTACTATATAAAAAGGGGCACTAATCAGTTCTGATAGAGTCAGTAAAATATATTATAAATGTTATGGAAAAAGTCCTTTTCATAAGGAAACTGCACATAGCTGTGGAATTTTACAATAAAATTGTCGCATTTGTCAGTTTGTATTGGCTCGTTCTTATTAATTATTCTTAGCATTATTTCTAATGGTGGTATTTATGTGACACCCAGTCGAAAACATGTATTACATTTGCCAGTAATGGCTTTTTTTTATCCTGCTCTTAAACAACTTGAAACCAGCAAGCACATTAAACTGGATAAGTTTGTGTATTTTTAAAATTAGCTCTGGGTTAATGTCAATTTCAACAGTTTCACAGCAGTGCAGATTGCTTACCAGCTGCTCCCTCCTGCTTTATTATGAGTTTTTTTTTAATAGGGGACAGAGTTTGGTGGGGAAAGTCATGCAAACTTTTGCTTGAAACACATCCAAATCTGATTTTCAAGAGGACACTCAAAGATCTTGCTGTTTAGGGGACTGATTCGATGAGTCGAGAACATTCCATGATGAAGGAAGACTCATTAAGGCAACAACAGTTTAATGTAACATCAAATGTAATGATATTATCATCAAAATTATCAGTGTGGCAAAAAGAACACACAGGCTTGACTTATTTAAAGCTCTTCTCATAGTGTTTGATTAAAAAAGGACAAACCTTTAAATTTTGTATCGTCATCTGGTGGTGGGAGGGCTCATATTAGACATAGATAACACAAAGCTGAAAAACATGTCTGTATCTTTAAATGACTTTGCATCCAGTTATTCTGTAGTGACGAGCTGATAAATATTTGCATGACAGTTTTTCCCTTTTTTTGAATGCCTCATTCAATCCTAAAAGAGAGCTGTTTTTTTTTTTTCTCAACTGCAAGCCAAAGATAGATTTAATTTTAAAAAATTTGAGGAATTAGCCTTTAAAAAAATCAGTATCCATTGCAACAATGTAGTTGTAAATGCTCGTAGGTGCTTAAAATCAAAGTCCAGTCAAAGTGTACTGCAGCAGTATTCATCCGTTGATTATTTCTGCATCCACGCTTCACGGGAGCAGATGGTGCGTATTCATTTTTTGTATCTAGATTTTGTAAAAAAATTGCAAGTGTACAGTGTGACAACATCGTTCGATGGTTTTTGAGGATACAGAATTAAACTAGGCTGCTTTACTAACCTGCTTTTGGGGGGAAAAAAGCTAAGAAGATTAGTTTAGGCATTACATAACCCCTTACCCAAAATCACATTTTCATTTTATGAGAAACATTTTTTTACAAAAGCGAAAGAGGACGACAAAACGCGGTTTAGTCCAATAACTCTCTTCCTTCCAGGGAAGTGCACTCGGAACATAGAGGCAGTTGGCCGATGGACCCCTATGCTGGCACCTCTCCCTCCACTGGGCAGGGTGGCAGCTGCAAAGGACGGCAAGCAAATCCCTCTGATTATTACACAACCTTCTGCAGAGCGCCACAGCACCGCATCATCACAGC